TATGAAATCTTTGTGTTGCCCACGATGGCCTCATACTTCGACGCTCAAGCAATCTGTCTTAGTGTCCCCAGTGCTGGGACTTATAGGCTGGTGCCCAGCTACACTTTAGATGCTTAGTAATAGTCCCAATCAATTATTGTTTGACAGTATCTGTAATCCCAGCCCTTTGGGGAGCTGAGGCAGGACTGCAAGTTCAAGCCCAGCCTTGGCAATTTAGTGATGTAGTAAGGTCCTGTCTCAAAACAAAAAAGGGGCTTGGGAGGTAGCTCAGAGCAAAGGCCCTGGATTTAATCCTCAGGACAAAAATAATTCTTGAGATATGTGCAGAAAATAGCTGTGGGAACTTTGTAAGGCATGGAGAGTGCTAAAGGTAGTAAGAACTCAGAAAGGCATATGGCTCCTCTCTACCAGAGAAGAGGGAGGTGGTACAGGATGAAAGGGCTGGGAGCTCAGAGCAGGAGAACCCTCTAGCTAGAGAGCCCAGAAAGTTTTACTGAGAGATAGCTGGGGCTAGCAGTAAAAGCAGAACTCTGAGCCATGGGCACACAGCACGGGAGCCTCCAGTTTAGGTTCCTACAGAAGCTCAGAACTAGAGGCTCAGGCCTGATGGTCAAGGAGCCGATTCCATTCCTCTCCCAGAGGATATGGCCTCAGGACAATACCACTGTTCCCACCCTGAGTCAGGAAGGCAAATCTCATGGGACGCCTGGTCGCAGCCCATCAGCCTAGGCTCAAGGCAGGTGGGCTCTTAAGCACCTATAGCCTCTGCAACAACCCAGGCAGCTAGTAAGGATGCTGTCTCAGGGGTGTCCCCTCCAGCACTGGGTGTGGTTACTTAGTCTTACAGCTGCCCTCACTGCTTCCACTTTCCCAGGAAGCATCTATGTGGAGTGGAGAGAGGCACAGAAGAGTGGTCCCAAGCCACTAGGGAGAGGAGAGCTCCAGGACAAGGCGGACTTCTTACCACCCTAGGGTACCCTGGGTGGGGTTGCTGCAAATAACAAAGAGCTTCCCTTCCTCCTCACTTGCTGTACCTGAAGTAACTCCTACCTTCTGAACCGCACATCCTGGGCCTATGGCTGCTGCCTTCAAAGAGCACCTAGCATTCTCCAGTCTATGTACAGTTCTTCTGGCCTCTGTGCCACCTGCCTCCCCACTACAGACAGAAGAGTCCCAGGAACAAGGTCTCTTTCCACTTGTCCTGAAAGCTCTCCAGAGCCTGAGGTAATGCTTGGACTCCTAGGAGCACTGTACAATGTACTGTGCTGCTGAATTTGCAACTGCCCGGGCTGGATCCCCACTCTCATGTGCCCAGTGCCCAATCTCATACCCAGTGTCCTCTTCTCTCCCTCTGTCCTGCCTCTGCATCGTGACCTGGAAAATCCCGAGTTCCCCAGGTTCCATGCGGACCCTCCCTTCTCGCTGTGACCAGGTCAGCCTTGGCAGGAAGCAAACTGCATGTAAATTTGCAGTACTGAGTGGGGGAAGTGAAGGTAAATCACAGGCATCTGAGGACAGAAAAGCATGCTCAGGGAAAGGGCAGCCAACCTGCTGAAACTGGCCTTCGGAGACACCGTCGCGGTAGAAGATGATGCGGGTGGGCTTGAAGCGTGTGGACTTGTAGAACTGGATGAGAAGCTCACGCACCATGGCAGCCAGGTCCTGAATGATCTCCTGCCGGTGCTGCTGCACACGCACAGTGGCGCAGTAGCGGTTGGGGTGTGCATCCATGCTGCCCACGACCTGCAGGAGCATGCAGTGAGTACCTGCAAGGGTACCCGGGGGCTCCCTGTTCTGGGCACGTGCTAGAGAGCAGCCTGTGGATGGGGGGAGATGTCTCCACTGGTCCTGCTGTGGCATATTTGGGACAGCTGGTTTCTCTGCTTTCCCTGAATGTCTGGCAAGCATGCTTGCTTATACATTCTAAAGAACAAAAGTTTGCCTTAAGGAACACAGTAAAAATAGGTGACTACTCAAGACAACTTTATTTTGGTTGTGATTAAAGGTGGTTGAATTAATTTGTCCACAGAAAGCAACTGGTGAGTCTCCTTGATTTTTTCAATGTAACTGCTTTTCCGTAAGAGCCACCTGCACATCAAACACAGCAGCCTCACCCCAGTTTGGTCCTTAGGAGGGCAGGGTGTCCTGAAGACAAGCTGTCCTGGTCTGGAAGGTCAATCAGAGAGAGTGTGGAGAGGAAAGTAAGTGAAAAGAGGGAGCCCAAGAGGCCTCTGGGTTCCTCGGTCAGGAGAGGAAGGGGCACAAGGCAGTGATGCTCAGCCCCAAGGCTGCCCTTGCACTGCTGTGCAGAGGCCAACTTCCCTGGCAAGCCTTATAGGAAGGACTACACATTCCTGAGGCATTTTCCCAGACCTGTGGTCCTCTGTCCTGCTTGGGGCTAGAGTTTCTCCCAAATCAAGTGAAAATAAATAGAGCCTGAAGTGTTTCAAGTTAGTACAAAGAGAAATAATTTAACATGTAGAAATCTGTTCCTATTGATTGAGAACTGCGGAGGTGATAAACACACAGATTTTTGTTTTTGAAAACTTGGAAAGTTTTGGAATCTAAGACTCTAAAATCCAGACAGCCAATTCAACACTACGCAGCATTTGTCCAAGAAAACAAAAGCTAACAGGATCAGTGAGGCAGGAGGACAGCAACACCACACACTAGTGTTAGAGAGCCACCGGCTATGCACCCACCTGGCTGGAGGTGCCAGGGCCTCCTCTCCGAGTCCTGTCTTCCTGCTCTACAGACCAGAACACAGCTACTGGGTGATCTGCCAAGCTGCCCTTCCTGATTAAAGGAGGCCAAGTGAGAAATTGTTCACACACAATGTGCTGGGACTGGGACTAGGGGGCCAAGAGGCAGGAAGTGCCTTAGGTGGTGTTGACCTCACAACAGGAGTGTGGCTTCATGTAACATCTGAGATCAATCTGTGTGTATTGTACACATGTGCACACAATACATATGGTAGTTTTCTTCCACCAATGGCAGTCTATCTGGTTCTCTCATGTTCACAACCCTCCAGACTAATCATATATTGACACTAGCATTTTCTCAGCACCTACTATGTGCCAACCTGGGCCTAAGGCTTCTGCCTTCAAAGAGCACCCAGCATTCTGTACATGGCAGGCCCCATGTACAGAGCCTCTGAGTCCCAATTTCTACCCTGCAGGCAAGTGCTTCTGAGGCACATCTCCCAGAGATGCCAGGGAACATACAAGAAGGCATTCATGAGGTGGGTGGGTATGGATAGTTAAAAAACAAAATAAAACAAAACAAAAAAATCCACCAGAATTAATGAAAGAAAGCAAGCCAGCCAGCCAGCCAGGGCCGGAGATTTAGCTCAGTGGTTCCGCCACCTGCCTTGCAAGTGCAAGGACCCGAGTTCGATCCCAAGAAAGCCAGCCAGCCTGCCTGCCTGCCTGCCTGCCTGATGCTTTCTTCCAATTGCTTAGCCACCCAGCCTCCAGTCAAAGGCACCTGGGAAGCCATGCATGGCAGCACACATCTTTAATCTTAGTCTGAGGGAGGCTGGACCTGGAGGATTTCAAGTTTGAGCCCAGCCTGGCAACTCAGAGAGACCATGGTGAGACAGACAGATAGATAGGCAGATAGATAGAAAGATTAGGTCTTAGCTCAGTGTCAAAGCACCGCTGGATTATTCTCCAATAAGATCAATCAGTCAGTCAATCAATCAATGGAGAGGCAAGGGGACTCAAGGTTGATACTCTCTGCACTTTGAATTACAAAGTTAAAAAACTTCACTGTTTGTTAGTAGTCTGTGGTTTGGTTCGGTCCTGTGGATGAAAGGCCATGGCACTAGTGACACTGTACTGTCTTGTGAACAACTAGGGTGGCTGCTGAGCAGCAAAACAGAGGCCCAAATGGCCAGAGGCTGGGCAAGAAGCACTGTACTCCACGCTGGGCCTTTGGAGACCTGAGGCTGCTGTTCCCATCAGGCACCACCATACACAGCCTCAGATGAAGATGGTCCATGCACTCTGTGGATGGTGTTAAGTCATTCAATTTATGTAGCTTCTTAGAGCCTTCTCTAAGAAGGCATCCCACATGGCCCAGACCCCACCAACTGAGCAAAGCACTGGGCCTTTCAGGAAGAAATCCAGGGCACGTTGCAAAGGGAGCACAGGTAGTTCAGGCTCCTGCCAGGCAGCATGACACCAAACAGGGTGCCCTGAGGACCAACTGGACACTCACTGCGGCAATAGAAGGCTTCTTCCCATCCCCGGCAGGTGGGTGAGTGACATCTGCTCCCAAAAAGATGACGGGCTGCTGGAATACAGGAGGCCTGTGAGGGAAATATGTGTTAGGGGCCAAGGCTCGGGACATAACCTGACCTCTGAAGACATGAGTTACTACTGTCCTCTTCTGGGTGGTTAGAAATGCATATAGCAGCCACATTTATGATCGGTAATTATCTTTAAGGACACAGCTATCTTTAACCTCACAGATAAAACAACACAAAGTCTGAGATGTGCTTTTGAATAAACAGGGAGGGAGAGGGTGTGGTGTATCCCAGACAGCACTGTCTGGAGACTGATGGCTGCTGAGGCACATGTGAGTTCATCATTGCATATCTTCTACCTTTATATACACTTGAAATAAAAAATTCCCATGACTTGGGCCAGGGGTGTAGCTCAGCAGCAGAGAACTTGCACAGCTTATATAGAATGGACAGATTCTGGTTTCTCCCAGAACGGCGGGGGCGGGGGGGATAAATAAATAAAAGCCCCATAGCTTGCTCTTCAGCCTTCAGGTGGCAGCTAAAGGCTACTCCAGGGCTTCTCTGCTCCTCACAATGCTGTGTTGGGGGACAGTGTCCTTCATCCACTAGGCCCCCACTGCACCCCCAAGCCAAGGGCCCAAATGTTTCCAGACAGGGCCAGATGCTCCAGCAGGAAGCTTGCAGCACTGGGTGGAGTCCCTTCCTAGGGGAGGCAGGTGCACAGGTAGACTAAGGGTCCTGCCCACAGGGGACCACGGCTTGATGTGCCTGTGCATGCTGGCCCATCACACAGCTAGCTGCCTTCCACTGTTATCATTTCCATGTTGACTACCCTTTCTGGGAGAAGTCAAGGAGCACAGAAACCTGTGTCCCACTTCTGTTTCTCCCTCCACTAGACCCTGCCCTATAGTCAGGCTTGGGAAAGAGAAAAACCCCACGATTGTAGGCTTTGGATAAGCCTTAGCCCAGCATCTCCAACCTATTAACTACTCTGGGAAATGTCCAATGTACTCCCCTGTGCAGAGAAAAGGGTCAGAAGCCACAGTGGAGGATGCCCAGCACTCTTTCCTCACTCACACACAGGTACGACTCACCTTAAACAAGCAGAAGCAGCCTGCCTTGATTCCCTTCCCATCCCTGCCTGCTCTACACAGGAACTCCCTGAATCAACCAAGCTGCACAGCCTCACAGACTCCTTCCATCAGGCTGCATGCTGCCATGGCAACAGGACTCCTCTCTGCAAGTCTCCAATGGCCACTATATCACCCAGTCTCAGACATTATCAGTGCAGCTCATCAGTACCTCATGACACGGGACACTTCCCTGGGTGTTCAGGGCCCCTCTGCCTCTGCCTGGCTTCTCCTGCTGCCACTGCCAATACTGGCCCCCAACCCTGAATTTCCCCACGGTTCAGGCTCAGATTGTCTACCCTTATGCTGAGGATTCTGATTCTGCCTCGGCTGGGCCCTGGGCTCAGATTCTCACAGCTTCTCGTTGTCTCCCCTGGGTGCCCTGCAGAGGACCCAGTCGAGCCCTTTACCTGCCAAGGGCTGCCCAACCTCGCTAGAGTGCAGGCCAATAGCTGGGGAGCCATGTTAGTCTCTTCCTTTCCTCTCAAGCCCACAAACCCCAGGCCAGGAGTGTGGATGCACCCTCATTAGCTCTGCCCCATCCTGGCCCAGGCCAACAGCTCTTCCTTGGGTGGTTGAGAGACTCCTCACCCCACTACATCTGGGGCCACAGCTGGTCTTCCAGAACACAGGTCGGGAGGATCTGATCACTAAAGGCCTAGCCCTCAGCCAATCCACATCTATTGCAATCTGCTTGCCTGCCCCAGCTCCTCACCCTCCTGAGTTGAGCTCATCCCTCTGCATGGGGACACTGCTCACCTGCTCTATCAGCTGTGACGTTTTTATGGACTCTTGCCTGGCCTCCTGTACCAGGGAGCTACGACTTAGGTCTCTGTGCTCACTGCTTAAGGCCCAAACTCCTTGTATTCAGCAGGCATCCAAGAGATGCAGAACCTGTTGACTGATCAAACAGTGCTCAGTTCTCTGCCTCCTGATATGTCCTCATTTGTTCCCAAGGACTTTTTTGAGTGGAATGATTCTTCTGAGTCCCACCTGTCTGACTGCATCACCACACCAACTCCTCACCAATTCGATGAGCTCTTCCAAGTCACCAGTGAAACTCAGTAGTTCTAGGTGTGGTAAATTCTAGGACCTAATCCAAGGCAGCTGGGGCAGACAAGGTCAGTGCTAAGAACATGGGTGCTCTGCTGCGTCCCTCAAGGGCTAAGGTATGGAAGGTTGGCCTCCCACATAATGGCAGTGAGAGGTGGGGCCCAGTGGAAGGTGATGCAGTCACCATGGTAGAGTGGTTAGATGGCCAGCTCTCTCCTGTGACCCCTGCCAATATATTCTTGCTATGTGACATCTCTGAACAATTAGCCCACTCCAGAGGCCCAGGCTCACACCATGCTTTGGACTTGCAGAACTATGAAGCAAATAAACCTCTTCCTCACCCATTTTCTTTTTAAAGTAGCCAGCTTCAGCTGGTTGTGGTGGCTCAGGCCTATCATCCCAGCACTCAGGAGGCTGAGGCAGGAGGATGGCAGCAGGCCTGGGCCACATAGTGAGTTTAAGGTCAGCCTAGAGTACAGAAAGACCCCATCTCAAAAGGGGAATGGCGGGGAGAGAGAAGAAGAGGGGAAAGAGAAAAGAAATAAGAAAGAAAGAAAATCAACCAGCATCAGGAGTTTCCTTGTAACAGAGAAAGAGACAGTGATTACTAGAGTCACCTAGTAGGTGCCCCCAGCAGGGCAGGCAGGTGGGCTGCACACAGGTAACACTTGTCACTGCCTATTTTCCAAATGAGTGAGTGAAGTGATGACTGCCTACAGTCTTCACAATTACCTCTTTTACTTCAAGACACTTTGAGTCATCGAACAGTCTGTTTTCACCACTGTGTGTCATTCCTATGGGTCTTTAAAGACAAAATCGCCTCAACAGCATCTGTCATCATGCTGATTGCTCCTTTTGCCTGCATCAGCAACTGGCAAGCTCTGAGGAGGGGCAAGCACTGACCTGAGCCTTGCCTTCCCACACTAAGGCATCGCCAGGCCTAGTAGGTGTCTGAGGCAAGTGCAGCTCCACCGCCCTGGCCACTCCCCTGAGGCACAACAGCAGCTGGCATTTGGCCACACATGCTGGCTGTGGCCAGGGACCCACCAGCAATGGCTCCTATGTGGAGCTTTTCAGTTCAACATTCCCAACAGCGTTCAGCAACATTGATGGCCAGCCTCACATGGAAAATAATAAGGTGCTGCTCTGGGTCCAGCTGATGAGCTAGGAACACACGTCTCCTGCTACGCCAAGTGTGCCCCTGCTCAGCCTCATTCACCCACACACTCCTGAGCAGCCACCATTGCCATGAACAGGGGAACAGGAAGGATACCTGCTCTGGCCCTGAGCAGCCAAGATCCACGCTGACCTCACTGATCTGTCGTGTCTAAAACAGCACTTGGCTAGGGTAAGTGACTCTGCCCCTTTGGGTATCAGGCCCCCATGCCAATGAACTGCTCCACACATGGGGCCTTACCTGCCCTGGGGCAGCAGGATGTTGTTGACACCTCCCAGTTTGACATTGATCTTCAAGCAAAGGTTGGACAGAGTCTGTGGCGTGGTTCTCTGTACATTCTTCATCTGTACACACTGTGTGGCCATCCCCAGCACCGTGTCTCCCACACGCTTGACCTCAGCTGTGGAACACAAGAGGTGCACACATCACAGCTTCCACTAATGCCCCTTCTTGAGCTAGCCTTCCTGCCCACCTGACCCTGTCCTGACCTGTGCTGGTACAAGGCCTGACCAATGGGTCCTGGGCCTGGCCAGCTTCAGTCAGTCTGTAGAGGAGGGTCACTCGCGTATGGAGTGGATTCATCTCTGAGCGGAGTCCTGCTTTAGCACTGCCATGCATGAGGGCCAATCCCACCCTGTCGGGAAGGGCAGCCCAGCAGGTGCATCCCATTCCTCCAACCTGTGAACAGAGACTACTGAAATGACTTGTGCTGGGCCAAGGGCAGGACTGGCAGAGCCCAGCCAGAACTGAAGACTTGGCATTCCTCAGCAGCAAAGATGCCTTTTTTTTTTTTTTTTAGTATGGGGATTGAACTCAGGACCTTCAGCTTATGAGGCAGGCGCAGTGCCACTGAGCTACATTCCCCAGCCCAAAGATGCTTTACATTATAGCACAGACTCAAGTAGTTAAAAATAAAAACCCTGGCATTCTCAAAATCTTTGGCAAATACAGATCTGACATCAAAGAGTTCTACAGGCCTACACCATCTTTCTGCCTGGATTCTTTCACAGAGCAGCTGGTCACTGCCTCAGGGCAGCTCTTTGGAAACAGTGACTCTCCGAGGCAATATTAATAGCATGTCAACACCAGTGGCTTTCTTCTTCCTTGTTTTTGAAGGTTGAATTTGGGAGGAGAGAAGTGTGGCTCTGACACATCTGTAACCTGCTTCTGGCAATACTCATAAGCCCAGGGGCTTCCTTCTGTCATGGGGCCCCTACACCACAGGTTCTCATACCAGCCCCGCTAACTTCCACAGGGGTTCCTAACATGTTGCAAAAAGCTCTCCCCTCGCTGCAGCTGGATTTGCATGGCCTGTCCACGAAGCTTTCCGTACTACCTGGGGCTTCCCAAGTGGAGGGCTGTGTCCAATTTTGCTCTGTATTCTCTGGGGGGCTGGGACACTACTAAAGAAAGTCCACACACTCAAGCAACTGCCTGTTGGCACAATGAATTTTAAGGAACTTCCAGAGAATTAGAGATTACAAATGTTAGACTGAGTCCCAAAGACATAGGAGTCGTTGCTGGCATTGTCAGGAGCACTCTGGGGTGTTAGGAGATGCTCTTCCCAACCCTAACACTCTTACTGTATGGTGGATGTGACATCCACACTCGAGCTGAGTTGTGTGCCACCAGAGTGTGCCAGCTATCCACAATGGTGGACCCACATGAGGCACCTATGGGGAGGGGCCAGAACCACTTCCTCCTCAGCCTTTGGAATGGGCCTGAAGCAAGCACTCCTCTGTGGCTGCAGCCATACCCATGTAGACCAACTGCGGCTCCCAAAGCCCATTGACAAGCAGACACCTACCATAAACTGGGGTTTTGCCAGGCAGGATGACCACCACCAGCTGGAGGCCAGCATATGTGTTTTTCAAATGCCGGAACATGGGCTCTACACTGTCCGCTCCCTGGGCGTATTTACAGAAGCATGGCTGGCCCTGAATTGGCATGCCTGCGTCTCTTGAGATCTTCCTGAGCTGCTCCGTGAATGACCTGGAGGAGAAGGTCCATTTTGTTAAAATGCACTGCAAACAGTAAAGAGTTCCGACCACCAGAGGTCCAAATGGCACAAGCTAAATGAAGCCAAAAATATGGGAGTTCCTTTTTGGATTTTTTTGGTGTTGAAGATCAAATGCAGGCCTACGTACTCTACCACTGACTACACCCTTAACCCCCAAAGCATGCTTATGGACAGTGATGGTGAACCTTTTAGAATTTTCAATGATACAAACAGCCTGCTGCAATACATGTGCCACGGGTTGCTTATGGAGGTCAGAATTAAATTTCTTTCATTCCTAGACAAAGCCAGATATCAAACTGTACTTCCTAAAATATATCAGCCCACAGAAAGGCTTAAGTTACAAAACATCCAAAGAGGCATCCGAAAAGTCAGTGTAGCAGCTGGGTCAGGATAAAACAGCACACTTCAAATAGTATTTGCACTGCCTCCTGCTGTGACACTCTCTTGTCATACAGTGACAAGGTTCTGTCCTTCACTTGGTGGACCACAACCGCCCAAGGGAGGTGAGGACACAGGTTTCCCCAGGTAAATGGCAGGTTCTGCCAGGAAGGGAGGATTACTAGCTCCTGCTCCTTTCAGTGGGTAAAACTTGGTCTTGATAACACAACCAGGAGAGGAGGCAAAATGGCCCACATGCCACAGCAGTACCTCAGCAGAGTCCACAACCACCATGGGGACACACACCCATGGCTTCTATGTTAGACCTATACATAAAAACCATGGACTGGGGATTTAGCTCAGTTGTGCAGGCCTGCCTCGCAAGTGCAAGGTCCTGAGTTTGATTCCCAGTACAAACCAACCAACCAACCAACCAACAAAAAACAACCATGTGGCCTTCTACAATCAAGGTGAGGACAGTGTAATCCAACCTCACCAGTCAGTGTTCTGTTTCCCACAAAAAAGAAACATGTGTACACATCTGCACTTCATCTACACATGAACTGTCTCAGTGGGTGAAAGTGGAAAGAGGGAACAAAGATAGGAGAAAGGCAGAAGAGGCGTCCAGGGTCTAAACTTTGATCTGATTCCCAACCCTCTTTCTGCTTCCAGCATGGACAAGAGCCCAGTCATTGACAACAGCCTCTAGCCTCTGGAGATGGCTCTGAGCACTTGGCTTTGCAGAAAAACCCCTTGGTGGGGTGGTCAAGTTGCCAGCTACCTCACATCCAGAAAGATGGGGCAAGTTTTACTTTGCCTTGTAATGCTGGCAGAAAAGGAAAAACCACCAGACCACATGCTTCCAGACACAAGGTTAGGCCTGGTTGTCCAGGATCCTCTCTGCTGCCCAGCTGATCCACAGACCAAACCAGGGTAAGAGGCAGCCCTTCTGTGGCCCAGTGGCAGTGGGCTTCATGAACCAAAGCTGTCTCTCCTCATTTTAATCACTTCCTTGGGGCAGAAATGAAGAAAATACTCCCAGTCAGACTACCTTTCTATAATCACCCATTCTGTCCTTTCTCCCTTTCACTTAATTTACAGAAATATCAAGCTAAAGTATATAGTTTTAGTTCACTGAATCCTATTTTCTCTCTTTTTTTTGGGGGGGGTACCGGGGATTGAACTTGGTCCTTGTGCTTGCAAGGCAGGCAGCGGAACCACTGAGCTAAATCCCCAGCCCATATTTTCTCTTTTTTGTTTCAACTCTATCTACCCACCTACCTACCTATTCATATAGTGTGTGTGTGTGTTTGTGTGTGCAACAGGCAGGCAGCGGAACCACTGAGCTAAATCCCCGGCGCATATTTTCTCTTTTTTGCTTCAACTCTATCTACCCACTTACCTACCTATTCATTGTGTGTGTGTGTTTTACCAGGAATGGAACTTGGGACCCTGAGCTTGTGAGGCAGGTGTCAGAACCACTGAGCTACATCCCCAGCCCCTTACCTATTAACTTAGAGACAGGCTCTTACTAAGTTGCCCAGGCTGGCCTCAAAATCCTGGCTGAAGCAATCCTCTGGCCACAGCCTCCCTAGGAGCTGGGACCACAGGTGCTCACCACCACAGCCAGCTCTGCCTGTACCTTTAACTCAGATGTTTTCTTCTAAGCAATCTGCTCTCTCCACACTCACTCTGGTGGCAGTCTCAGGAGGAAGCAGTACACTGAGAAGGCTACACTTTCTGGCCTAGCCTGCCCGAGCAACTGCTCTTTGATCAGAAAAGGCTGACAACCCCCCACATGTGAACTCCTGCTGGCACACACATCCCGACACACAGACAGAAAGATCTTCCCAGCAGTCATTTGTTCCCTGCCCGCCCAGCAAAACCACGGCCAGATGCTTCCAGGTGGCTTACTTCAGATGGACTTCCGTGCACTGGCGCTGTGGTGCGAAGCATGCGATGGCCCACACCTTGATCTCGATGCCTGTGTGGAACTGCTTGTTCCTCATGTCCCAGACACCTTGAACAGGGGTGGCGATTGCTTTGTTCTATAAATGACAAGGAGTTCAGAGTGAGAAAACATGGGAAACACAGTCCTTTGACCCTGGCCTTCATCACTCTCACTGCTGGTTCCCCAACTAATAGGGGCTCCTGAGGGCAATAACTTGACTTTTGTGCCATCCCAGGTCTTCCCTGACAAGTACTGTAGACAATGTGCACATGTTTGCAGAGTGGCTGGATAATAGGGAGAGTGGTTGGGTATGGAGTTGAATGGAGAAGGAACACAAATGTGGTGGACAGAGGATGGGATGAACAGATGGCTAGCTGAGTAGAAAGCTGGACAGGGGATGCACAGGTAGATGTATGGATGAGAGGGTGGGTGAAGAGGAAGTTGGACAGATGGATTGGTGAGTGGGTAGACCATTAGATAGAGGATGCATGGTATGTAACAAACGGAGAGGAGGAAGGGCCCAGAGCTCCATTCAACCTTGGAATACCTAGAGGAACAGAAGCACCCTACAATGCCACAGGAAGCTTTCGTACTCTATAGAGTACTATGCCGTATGTTACCTATCTATCATCACTAACACCACCAAGGAAGGCTTCCCCAGTACCAGGACCAGTGTGTTGACAGGACAACAAGAAGCAACCCCCATGACTCTTTTCTTCTGCCCATGCTATAAGCTGTGTCAGAGACAGAAGCTACTCTCCTTTGGAAAGAGAAATATGAAGCCTCACATCTGCTTCATCTTATCATCTTTTACTTAGAAAGGACCAATCCCTGACATCCTCATCTAAGGAATCTCAGAAATGCCTTCCAGTGATTCTCCCGAAAGGATATGCATAGAAGTAGCGATGCCACCTCAGGAATGAGTGTCACTACAAGAAACACATGTGTCTGAGGTGCTATTGCTATTGCCTGCTTGCATAACAACTTCTACATGGGACAGCTGTCAATGCATACATACAACGCACACGGGATCTTCATAGGTAGTAGCTCCTACTATGTCAACCTCAGCTGACTGAGACTTGGGGTCAGTGGCTCTTCACGGGGTATCCTGTGCATGTTACTGTCTGCCTATCAGGTGCCAGGAGTTCCACCTTGGGTGGGATGAAGAACAGTATCTCCAGACACCATAAAATATCTCCTGGCTGAGAGCCCGCCTGCTGCACACATTACTTGCAGAGGGGGCTTCACTTCTTGTGTTAGCAGTGGACATTAGGTAGGGGAGGTGATGAAGGAAAAATGGAGGGTCTTTCCGCCCTGGAAAATGTTTCAGAGGTCCAGAAAAATGCACTCATTTTGAAACATTATAAGCTCTTTTAATCCTTAGGATTCTAGCACTAGAAGGATTATAAGAGCAATTCTCTTTTCCAAACTGCTCCTCTGTATTGAGGCAGGACATTGATGAAATAGAGGAAAACAGGGAACAGTGAGAAACCACTGCATTTGATATCTTCATTTTACCACCCACGGCCTCAGGAACCAGTCTCTTGCCTTTGTGGGACCTCTTCTCTCACCCGTGGCAAGGGCACCAAGCAATCTCCCTCCTGCCCTGGGGGAGTGAACAGGTGAGGTGTCTACAGTGTTCAGGCACACAGAGTACACAAACCAGCAAGGGTGTCAGAGGCCCTGCTCAGAAGTCCCTTCAGGAGAGGAGTACCACTGAGCTGCGGCACACACAGACACACTCAACATGGACACTGTGACAGCCACAGGGAGCCAACTCACATTACACACAGCACAGGATGACCTGCAAAATCCCAGAGAACTCTTTCAGGAAACAACACTAGAGTGACAAAAACCAGGGCACAGTGTGTACCAGAGGCATGGAAAAATATGTAATAACTCGTGGGTGGTTGTACAAAGGAGATGACATCAATTGTTTCCTAGGAAGGCCACTAAGAACTAGGGAAAGAGCTTTTTAGTAATTCTCTTATAATTTTTGAATTCTAAAGCATTTAAAAAATGAAACGTGAGTCCCTGGGTTTGAACTCTAGCAATGCAAAACAAAACAAAACAAAAAGAAAAAAAGAACTTATATTTTAAAATGAGAACAAAACTAAAGCAAAACCATACCTGGCTATAAATCTCAAAGACCAGAGTAAAAGTCAGTAGATAAAAAGAGAGCAAAGCCTGGCAGAGCCCTCACACTCAGCTGCTGGGGACTCAGTACCTCTGATGCTCGGCCCAACAAACTTGGGCATTGCCCCTGCTCCATCATGGGGGATCCTTCAGAGGAAATGAGGGGCCCTTTGTCGTGAGTCCAACAGCCTTAGTGATCAGGACCCCCTGGCTCATTAAAAAACCCAGAGGTTACAATGGCAAAATACTCGCTTGCTACCAAGAACCTGGAAAGCAGAAGTTAAAGAACAGAAAAACAGGATAAGCTCCTAAAAAATAGCTCTACATGGGTAGAGCGCCTACTCCATGAAGAAGGATACCTTTTACATTGTGATAGGATTAAATGATCTTTTGAAGCAGTAAAGACAATTATGAGAACCTTCCTAAAGAACTGAGAAAGCCATGTTGTCATGAAGCTGAGGCCCTGGCAGGTGCAGCCCAGAGCAGGGGGCCTGTACAGGCTCAGGGTCTGCACAGCACCATGGGTGAGGGCACAGAGCACCGAACAGCCAAGCACTGGGACTCCTCCATCAGTGCAGCGTAGACCCACTTCCCCTACTCCCTGCCCTCTGCACTTACTCTGCCCCCGTACAGGATAGAGGGTGGCTGTAGGACCCGCCCAGTCACATCTGTCATTTCGTCTTTCACCATGATTCCAAATTCACGAACATATGGGTCTGTATTAAAACTTGCACTTCTCATCTTGAAAAGAGAAAAAAGAAAAAGCACAGAGTCAGGTAGGGCTCTGTAGCCTGTAGTGGCCATGTCTGTCCAAAGCATGGGGTATCCTGTGGCATTCCATCCCAGGACTGACCCCAAGGCCACAGCCCATACCAATTTGCTGATCTCTTCTTGCCGATCAGGTGCCGACCTTGCAGTTGCTCTGATCATGGTTGAGGTCTGATTGTCCGTTAACTTTTTTATACATCTCTGTCCTGCCACTATGTTACAGACCTACGAAGAAGAAACAGATGGGTCAATGCCTGTGCTATATGCGGACTGGGCAGCAAGTGAGGGCCAGCACCCTGCCAAATAGTGGAGCTGCTCCATTGCCTCTGGCTCACAAAAGAATCCCCTCTAAGTAAACCCAGCAGGGCACTAACATATGTGGGGTTGGGTCCAAACCAAGGTTCCTGGGCTCTTTCCAGTCCTCAGCAGAGATGGGCGTAAAATTTGTTCACGAAACTGGCTGCTTAGCTGGGTATGGTGACAAACACCTGTAATCCCAGCACATAGGAGGTTGAGGTAGGAAGACTGTGAGTTCAAGGCCAGCCTGAACTATACAGTGAGACCCTGTCTCGAAGAAGAAGAAGAAAGAAGAAAGAAGGGGGAGGAGAGGAAGAGAGGGAAAGAGAGAGGAAGGAGGGAGAGAGGGGAAGGAGGGAGGGGGAGAGAGAGGGAGGGAAGGAAGAAGAGAGAGAGGAGGAAGAGAGAGGGGAAAGAGAGAGAAAGGAAGGGAGGGAGGGGAGGAGGGGGAGAGAGAGCGCAAGAGTGTGTGAGAGAGAGATAGATGGGGGATTGAGAGAGAGGGAGGGAACACACAATATGAAACAAAACTGGCTGCTCAAGAAAAAGGAAGTCAAGTCTACTACTGGAGCAGGACTTCAGAAAAGTCAACGATCCAACCAAGCAGGGAGAAAAGTAATACTCAAGGAAGATGAAATGCATTTCTTAGTTTTGTCTTTTTTTAATCGAGGACAGGAGTTTTCAAACAGCCTTAACGCAAGATAAGTAGATGAAGAATCACCACGGGTCCTGAGCACTGACTTTTCTGCTGGAGACATTGCCCAGATTTCATGCTGTCCTCACGGTAATCCCATTCTACCACAGGGGAAACTGAGGCTCAGCAACACCAATAACTAGCCCAGGGTACTAGAGCAGCAGGGATGACACAGTTGTGTTTCTTGAGGTTGCATGACCTGGCCCCTCCATGTCTCCTCCCTGCCCCAAAGACACATGGTGTACACAAGGCACTCGCCTCCAAGGGAAGGTAGGTGTGTTTCTGTTCCTGTCCAACTTGTAAACATGGGAGGTGGGGATAGCGCAGAACCAGCTTGTGCCTGTCCTTGAAGTACTGGGCCACCGTGCACTCCACTGTCTGCCCACTCTCCTGCTGCAGCGGGAACCTGGAGAACAAAGAGATCGCTCAGATGACAACATCTTGGGCTCCTAAGAGCAACCGCTGGAGCTTGTACACACCTCACCCAGGACTGCATATCTGAGTTTGCTTTGCTGGGGTGACAGGTGGGAAGCAAGTACTCAGCAGGTCCTAGAAGTGGAACCAAATCCTGTCCTCTAGATGACTTGGACTCTTCCAGAGTCCCCAGTTTTCATTTTGTCTCTACAGGGTAGAAAATAAAAAATGCCTACAAGCACAAGATAGGCAGTAATCACAAACTACCCACCTGCCTACAAGTTCCACAAAGGAATTAGGATAAACAAATTCAGAAAAAAAGGCCCATGAACTTCTCCCAGACTATGGCACTCTTGAAAGTCACCCCATGGCCAGGGCTCCAAGTGCCCAGAGGAAGTGAGACCTTCCAGGACAGGAGGAGAATGGCAATGAACCAAGTTGTTATTGCACCCATCCGTGGCCTTGTGCAGGGCTGAAGCAGGAGGAGAGGCCCAAGAGAGAAAAGAATGAGTTGGTGTCCCAGCTTGTCCTGCAATGACTGCTCCACTGTGCCTACACTGCTGAGCAATCTGTTGCCTGCCCAGTGGGAAGAGGTGACAAGGCCAGATCCAGCTAGTCTTTGCTGCTGTTCTACAAGGACCTAGGGACTTTGGCATCTCCAGTGCCTGGCAATAACACAGGTATGTTCCATGGAAGGACCACAAAATAAAACAAATGAGCCAGGGCACGAGGTCCAAACCTATCACTTTCCTCAAAATGAACACTGCATTCTTGTAGGTGGGAAAAGACAAGGATTTGGACAGCAAACTGTGTTCTCTAAGTAATGAGACACATAGCAGAAGGACACCTTAGGTGGGTTGGCAGGGGCAGTCTAGACCCAGATACACCCGTGGGTTCACAGTGTCCACAGACACACTGCTTTCCCCAAAATTAACATTAGACAACACATACCAAAGACCTTTCTCTCACCTACGAAAGTCTACCCCTTCCCAACAAGGGTCATTCAATATTGTATTTGAGTTTATTTCAATAGGCAAACTTTGGGATCAGGTGAGCCACGTAAAGTAGAATACTGGCATTTCAGAACAGAATAAGATCCTTGCCAAGAGAATCTAGGTCCCAGAGTTTGGAAGCCTGAGTGACAGGAAGGACTTGTGCCTACAGGAGTGTGTGATAAAGGCAGTCACTTACGTTTGATGACTGGCGGGCCGCCGGGTCACATTGCAAACACGGTACTTCCTCTTCATCTGCCCACAGTGCGTTATCTCCACCTTTAGACCTGTGACAAGCACAGGAGGCATCAGTGGCCATGCTTGCCTGTGGCTTTCAACAGAAACCCTGGTGCAGACCCAGCTGTGGCGGGTCTGTGTCTGCTGCAGGGCTCCTGAGAGGTGGTAACACCACACTGCTGTCTGAGAGTGATTCCAGCCTCCAGCCTCAGGTCTGAGATTTACAACTACTGACCCACCCACCTCTTCCTACCTCACATAGACAGTTGTATTTCCTTATCATTCCCACTACTGGGTGGGATTTAAACATCCCTGATAATTCATCAGATGATTGTCATCTGCCACCTTTTCCACCTCCCTCTACACGTGTGGGGACAGGAACTCATAAGTGCACGGATGAGGGGCCCTTGGGGACTGCCCTGCCTCCTGACCTGATGCACTGGGATGGCTTACCTTTAATTTCTTTGGTAAACTTTACCCTTTGGGAATCTGTCAGAGGTTTTTGTTGTTCTTCAATACTTTTAAAATCCAAAACTTCACAAACAAACTCGATCACTGGCTGTGCCTTATAAAAAGCTGTTGCTGACACTGCAGGCAGGAAAAGAAAGAGACAAAGACAAGTTTGGCAATGCCCCTACCCCATGAACCACGCAACAATCCTGGAGTGGTTTCTACAGACTGAGCCACTCACGGACCCAGGGACTCAGGGCACCAGAATAAAGCTGATTGAGTCTGCCAAGTCTCTCTGAGAAGAAACCTAGTTTTATTTTATTTTATTTTTTGGTACCAGGGGTCAAATCCAGGACCTTGCGCCTATGAGGCAGGCAGTGGAACCACTGAGCTAAATCCCCAGCCCTGAAACCTAGTTTTAAAAACACAAAGTCTAACATATCAGCAGAGCCATGAGCCTTAGATTCTATGATTCTTCTCACAATCTTCTGGTACAGATATTTCAGAGATGTGCCAGTCCTTACCTCTTTTTCAATAAATGTGTATCTGAGCAAGATAGAATTTTCAAGTCTTTTCAGGTGCTTCTCATAGTAATTAACTCCCAAAGGAGAAGAATGAATTCTGACTTTCATTCTTATCTCTGTCGCAGAGGGAAGTAGAGGTCTCCCACAGAGAATTAGACAGATTCTCCAGACAGAGAGAGGCAGTCATGCCCAGGCCTGGTGAGGAGACCCACTGGACTGACCCCAACCAGCTGCCATCCTCGATGTCTCCAGCACGTACACATAAACCCCTCAGACCCCAGGAGGGAAGTGGAAGTCAGGAACATGGCCTGACCTGTGCCCCGCACATGTAGCACACTGAGGCCTGGCAGAGGTACCTCCTCAGCCCTGACTCATCTATAGGGGTGAGCTCCTCCAAGGGGCTCTGATGCCTACCCAGGAATCATTGCTTTGCCCTCAGACTTTGAGAAGGTGTCACAGACACTGGCAGAGGCCATATTTGGAGCTGGCCACAAAGGCTTTTCCCTTCTACTAGTTCCCTAGCCCGCCCTGCAACAATGGCCCCACTTTGCTTACCATCAATATTCAGCATCATTTTCCAAAGAGAAGGTCGGACGGACTGATGGAAGCCAAACCACACTTCTCGGCCCCCACCAAGAGGGTTGGAGCAGCCCTCGGATGCAGTGAAGAAGGAACGGCCCACAGGGGTGTACCTGCAACCCAGAGAGGCCCCGCCTGCTCAACTATGCTGGGAGTACCAGGCCTGCATCTGCTCTCCCCTACACACATGCAGTGGCATTCTGATTTCTCCCCTATGGAATTGCCTCTCTTTCCGGGATTCTAGCTTATGCCAATGACTATCAGGGTGAGGCAGCTGGACCAGTCCAGTGGCTTCCAAGGACCATGTGGCCTGTCATTCATTCCCTATTTCACTCAGCTCGTTTTATCCAGGCACTGAGCATAAAAGGCACTCGGAGCTTGAGCTGGTGTGCAGGGAACATAAGCCGCATGGTTCACACCCTTCTGTGGAGACAGAGAAACATGAGTGTGGACCCAAGCCATAGCCTATCTGACCACAGTGCACCTCATCTATGTACTACAGAGGTACCTGGCATCCAACCACTGGGGATGCCACAGGTCACTACTCATGGGGTTGGCACACCATTTAGTGGTGTTATCCTATGGGGGCTACACTGTTAATAAAATCATGGAGAAGGCCCTTTTCATTTTCTACCTGAGATGTGCTAATGGTGCCTCTACTTCCACTGGTCTTCCAAAATGAAAACAGCAGTTTCTTTCCTGATTGTAAAATTAATGTAAATAACCCAAAGGAATTCAGAAGAGAAACTACAGTCATTCCTACCACTCAGTTAAAAATACAGACACCTGGCAACCATCCTTCTTGCGCCTGCCTGCTCTCCACCCATCAACAGTTCCAAGTAGTGACAGATTATACGCCAGGCCCTGCCAGGAATGACACCTGGCCCTGGATGTGTTACCTCCAACCAAGCCTCAAGCTGCGGGCTCCACTGTCATCTCTAAATCTTGTGCCTGGCTTCAGAGTGCCTTCTCACACAGCTCTCCTTCCCTTTGCAGATCAGTGTGAGCCCTGGAGAGTCAGCATGAAGCTGTGCTTCTAGTTTGGCTTCCTGCTCTTCACTTGTCCCTTCCTGCTGTTCCAGAGATCCTACTGGGTAGGTACCGGTGCGAGGAACCCACTGTGGAAGAGGTGAGCCGGCCTTGCTCCTCCATGCTTCCTCTCATAGGAAGCTGGAACAACCCTCTGCCCAGCAGATGGAGATTGATGTGCCCCCTGGAATATTCATCCACCCTTTCTCCTAGCAGTGCCAAGTGTGGTGATCTCTGGCTACAAGATGACCGCAGAGAATGAAACAAGAAGTCCAACGTATCTAGGGTGCTTCTTACCGTCGTGAACAGGTGTGGAGAAGGTTCTCCAAGGTGGACGTGCAGCCAAGCATGACACTAGGGCATTACCACTACGAGTCCTGTGCATCAGGACAAGGCACACAAAGTGCTGTCCACACAGGGCGTATGGCTATGAAGGCACCCAGGGGCACAAGATCAGGCTTGGTGGAAAATAGTGATGGTTAATTTTTATATTAAAAATTTTCCACCTTAGTCCTGTTTACTGTCTTCACCACAAAACACCCATGTGGCTGTCACCACCCTACTGCTTGTCCTGGGATACAGATCGCATGCTTTCTGGTCATACCCAGCCCTTTGGTCCCATGTGGAGCTCTCACCTCATGGATGGCAAATGCCTCATGACCACATCCAGGGCCTGAATCGTCTCGAAAGGGACACTGGGCAGCCTCCCCGAAAGTGCATCATGTAATGCCTGTAAGCTCACGCAGGACACCCACTTGATGGATACCTTGAAGATGCGGTCTTTGCCTTCTCCTGGTAGCGTGACCTCCAGCTCCACCTGAGGAGGTTCAAAGCACACTCAGTCATTCCCTCTTCAGAAACTGCTGAAGACAAGGATGGTGGCAATTGATTTCCAAACTCTGCTGGGCTGGAAAATTCCCTTGTAGTCCATTATCCACCCACTGACCACCTGTGGCTCCTGAGGCCCACTTACTCTAGGCAATGTCTTCACCTGTGTGCTGCACACTGTGACATGTCCTGCACTAGGAGCACTAACAGGCTGGACCATAGATGCATCCTGACCATGGCACGCACAAACCCTCTGGTGGTAACAGAAGCAATTTTGTAACCTACTGATGACACCTCTGGATATTTCTGGGACAACTACATACTCTATCCTCCAATGCACAGAATGCCAGTGAGGTAGACTTGCTCACATTTTTGTACAGACCCACAAATGCTCAGATTTAAAAAGTAGCCCCAGATCACAGTGCTATGAAAGGGCAGAGATGGGACTAGGACCCAGGCTGGTCTACTACCAAAGGTTTTTCCACTGGTACATGATGCTGGGCGATGGAAGCACCTCTGGGCAGGGCCAGGCAGTCATGGTCCTGGCAACATAACACAGACCATGCCCACACCCCAAAACCCAGCCTCATACCACACTTCTGCAGTTTGCAGCTGGAACACTTCCTTGAGGTGAGTAACCTGCACAGCCCCACTTTCCTCAGGACAGGTCAAGCGCTATGGGAATGCCTGGGTGTGCCAGCTCTCATATGCTTAACCTCTGGACTCACCTATAGCACTTTGCCTGAACCTTGCCAAGAACACCCAGGCCCCACTGATGCAGCCTGCACACCCAAGTCCCAGGAGGGTGAGTCTTTTCTATCCAGGACTTGGCCTGCATGAGCAACACCCATGCATCCAGCAACACTCAGAGTTCTACCACACCTGGCAACCAAACTGGAAAGCACCTGCAGCCCATCTGCAAGTGAAAGCAGTAAAAGGCAAAGTGCTTCAAGGTAGACAGATATTAAACATCTAAAAAAGAAAGCTATAGAATTGATTCCTTCTAGATTTCAAAACTCGATCTAACAAGGCTACTTATATCAGGGGATGCACACACTGTTGAAAATCCCTAGGAATAAAGGATCAAGTCGTCAGGAGAGGGAGGATGCTACTGGGGGCAAAGGGCACAGGAGCTGGGCGGAGGGAAATGCTAGGCCTAGATGGTATGTACATGGGATCTATTTTATAACTACTCTTGATAAAACTTTAAGTTAGTCATATGAAAGTAGTAATAAAAGCAAGCATTAGACACAGCACTAATAACATGACAGGCATTATTAATTTACCTAACAACCTGTTATTCTCCATGCCCTGGTGTCCACCCTCACTTTCAGTCAAGATCCTGAGATCAGAGAAGTAGCAAGCAGAAGAGGTGTGCCTCCTCTGTGGGGGCAATTCCAGTATGGACTGGTAGAACTGACCTCCACAACAGAAGTAACAGATAGCAGAGGAGAGGGTACCCTTCCACTACAGAAATGGGACAGGTTGGAGCAAGCAAATAAATGGAAGCCATCACACTGGTCTCTCAATTACCCAACTCACCAGTGGGGACCTGTGCCTATACATTTCTCCAGATACACAGCACATATCTGAATGACACTTTATGAACTGGTAGCAACTCGACACTTGTTAACGTCATCCTTGTAAATGCCCCTGTAACCTGAGGAGAGACCCTGAGAGGCATACAAACACATACTTCGGTTGTTAAAAATCTACTTTAGTTCAGTCTCTCCTTGGACCCATAAAGGCTATACCCCAGCCTTTCCACTTCAACTCTGGGTGGAGAGCTCACCAGAAACATCACCTGCTTGGGAAGGGTGACTCCAGGCTCTCTGAAAAGCAGATCTTGTTCATGTCTGGGCCGCTGGCCATGTTCCAAGACACGTTATCTGGGTCCTAATTGCAATGCAGCATTGCAAGGGCTCTGACTGGAGTTTAGCTCTGGTCGACCTTGGGCAGGGGGCTCCTTTCCACTCAGACCACCTGTGTCAGCTGTGGGGCTGGTGTGTCATGAGAATGCCACAAATGCCACTTTCTGAAACGGTCAACTGAAAACATCACCAACCCAGGACCTGGACACAGTGACATACATAGTTGTGAAGTGAACCTCTCTGAGCAGGCCATGGCCAAACTGAGCCACTCTAGCTGGAAATCATCCAGGTGAGGAAATCAGGAGTAATGTAGAGGTTCCTGCTTGTGTCTGGCCACAAAATTAAGAAACAAAGGAAGGGAAAACAGCACTTTGAAGAGCACAAAGAAATTGCACAACCACCACCACCATCATAAGAGACAGCCAAGTGCAGAGAGAGACAGCTGCTTTCCCAGAGACTTCCTCACTCAGAACTCAGCTGTTGGGCCACCAATGCCCCAAAGATGTCCAGTCCCTATCACTATGGAAGAAGCCACAGCACCAGCAGGCAGTCTGGCTTGGGCAGCACTCTGAGCCCGAGGGAGGCGTCACACTCACCGTGCCTGCCAAGCCAGGCCAGAGCAACAGCTGCCATGCTCTAGGCCATAGTTCTTTTCCAGAGGGAGATGTGCAGGTCACGTCCTGTTTAAATGTGCCCAAGGAGCTGTTGTCTAAAGGTCTTCTGTGATTCTGCCCAGCAACCAATCTTCCTGAAAAAGATCACTGCCCATTCAAATACCTGGTTTCAAGACCAGGCTCAGCCAGAGCGCCTTTGAAGTATACTGCAAACCCAGAGGCACTCTGGCTGGTTTGGGGACGGATGCTCATCCAAGGTGAAGCAGCATGTCCTGAGCATGCTGACAGGTGAGGCACCCGGGCAGGCTCGAAGAGCAGATGAGGGCAAACAGGCCTCTACTGTGTGTTGCCCACGGGGGAGCCCCAGTGCTCTCCTCCCAGGAGCTCTAGGTGCAAAGCCTCCCTGCCAGTTGAGCCCTTAACATCCCTGATCACTTGATCCCTTCATGCCAGGTCAGCAGGCACCTGTGAGTACTTCTATGGTTCCCATATGGCCAGGTACAGAGACACAGAGGAGAACCACATGACCATTTCAATGGCAGTGAGTCCTTTCCATTGTAAACTGTTTCTGGGCAAGGTTTATGGACTTCTGAGCTCTAACTCCTATCCAGAAGAGGAATGCACACAACTCCCTGACCAGGAAGCTACAGCTCACGTCGCACATCATGTCTCTTCACTGCCAAAGTGGCCTAGGAATTAAGCCCCAAGTTTTGAGCAACATGTCCAAATTCTGGGTGCCTCCTACTCTGAAAATGAGGATGTGTCTGGTCAGCCACAGGTACCTCAGCCCACACAGAGCTGGCTTCCATACCAAGGCTAGAAGTCAAACAGGTAGGAAAACATGAAAATAGCAGAGATTATGGTGCAGTCTAGCAAAGAGACTGTCAAGCAGGTGATGTGACTAGGACACTCTGTTCAGAGACCAGGCAAGAGCCTCCATAGTCTCCACCAAGCTCCTAGGCAGATGCTAGGCTAACAGGCACCTCAAGATTCTTCTGTTACTACAGAATATGTAAAGACAAAAGAGCAAATATAAAAGAGAAGGTACCAAAAGATGGCATTTTGCTCTACCATGCAGCATCTTGGGCATGGAAAGGGGGACAGATCTTTGTTAACTTTTGGACAGTAGGGTTTGTTTCTGTGGTCCACAAATGTGGGAGGGGTGTACCTGGAATCAGGAGACCCCATACAGCTGTGCACAGGTCTGTAAGCCCTCTGGGACGTAGTCTGTCATCTGACACAAAGACAAGGGTGGGTGGGATTCAACTTGGGACACACTGAGTGCTCCCCAGACTGAGTGCCAAACCAGTTCATGAAGGGCTTCTGTGGGCACTAAGTGACCCAAATATGCTCTGGACACAGGCTAGGATGGCAGAGCAGTGACAGAAACCACTGTATATGACAAGTGTAAACCACATCCTGAGCAGTGGGACGAAGGGCTTCAAACTCTTACCCCTCCAGGTGTGACATGGGGCCTGATGGGCAGCACCTGGAGGTGGCTGGAATCTTAAAAGTCCCCAGGGCCATGCAACACTTGGAAAAATGGGGCTGCTCTTTTTGGATGTATCTTCTATCACTGCTGCTCCACTCTGCAGGCTCAGCACTGGCCCCAGGTCCAACTAGGAAGGGTGATCCCCAGTCTGTTTCTACAACCACAAATCTTGAATTTGAGCCCCAGAAGTTCCCCCGACTTCTTAGGGAAACTCTCCTCATGGCTCTCCTAGCGTCTATCTATAAATATGCACACACAAAACTGTGAATACACTGCTTATGCTTTCCTTTCTATCACTTTAAACAAAAACAAATGTTGAAATTAAACACAAAACTTTAAGATCAATAAATCTCAAATTGACAGCAGGTTAACTTGCAAAGGGAAAGCCTGCTTAACTGACCTGCGTCAGCCCTGGGGTTTCCTTTGATGTAGAATGTGCTGTCCATCTCCCAGTACTGGCAATGATAATCCATATGCCACTGGTGACTCTAGAAATTACCGTGAGACTAGATCCCACTGTACCGAGCCATATAAGGTAACCTGGCCTTCACCCTGTCATACATAATCACTCCTGTCAGAGAGAACAACTAAGTGCTGAGACTGCTAGGCCCTGCAAGAGGCAAATGGGCCACAAGAAGCTAGAGTGTACTCTCTTTAAGATTATTACTATAGTGAAAAAAAATTATTTTTCATATCTGTAAAGAACACGTAGGTTCCTTATTGTCCCCTAAAAATACATACCTAACTTGAGACCCCTGCACTCCCCTTATTTTCAGGGGTCCCAAGCTTAAGGGACTATTAGAGTAGACTGTTCCCAGTGGGAGTTATACCTTCTCACAGATGTTAAATTACTGGGCTTTCCTGTGTTTGTTAAAGTACAAGGGAAGGGTAATCAAAATAGATGGTGAATGTTTAAGTTTTTGAAAACATAGAGAAAGACACAATGACATTTACTACCATAAAAACACTCCCACTTGGTTTGAACATACTTCCCATTATTTTGCCACTTTCTGAAGCAGTTCTGGAAATCCTCGTCTTTATATGTGATTAAAAAAATAAGGTGATGCTGCTGTCAAGTGCTATCCAACAAAAAGGCAGGCTTATAGAAACATACTGTGTCCTTATTCACCTTATTCACTAGATCTAGCACCATGTGACTACTGGCTCCTCCCAAAGTCAAAATGACCAGGAAAGGTAAACCTTTTGAATCAATTGAGGACATTAAGGAAACAATGACAGTACAAAAAAAGAAAAGACACAAATGAGGAGTTCCAGAACTTGGGATAAGTATGATCCAACTGAAGGGGTGTATTATGAGGGAGGTTAATAGCAATGTGTCTTTTACAGTAATTCTTTAAAATTTAAACATTCACTGTATTTTTCTTTTCTGTACCGGAAATTGAACTTAGGGCCCTGTACTTGCCAGGCAGGTGCTCTGCTGCTGGGCTACATTCCAGGCTCATTCACCAGATTTTTTTTTTTTAATTTTTCTTGAGTTTATTGGTACAATCTAGGTATACAATACAAGTATATTCATTATTGGGATCCTGTACCTTTACATGATAGGTCTTGATTCTCATTTTTTCCCCTTGTCCCTGCCCTCCCTTCACCTCCCCCTTCCCTCCCCATTTACAAACACTTTATTTCCATTTTTTCATTTTCTCATATTTTTTTCCTCTCCCTTATTACCTTTTCCCCACCCTTCCCACTTTCCCTACACCTTTAGCCCTTTACTTCCTATTTCACATTATTAATTATCTCATTAGGATCTTGTATACTATTATAGTTTTTCACACCAGAGAAACTATTCGGTATTTCAGTTAAAGAAATCTCTATATGAACATTAAAAATAGGGAATCCTAAAATAAAACTAAAAAGGAAAGTAAAAGAGAAAAGGCAATGATGCAACATTAAAACAATCCTTAATTCTGAAGATGAAAATGGTCCTTGAACATATTTAAGTTGCTTCTTGCTCTTGTAGTCTTATATTATTTTCATTTTTTAGAGAATACTTTATTAGTTTCTATAATCAAACCCACATAGATATACATATTTACATATTTAATACAGTGCATTACCCCTGTAGAAATGGAAAAAAATTAATTTTCTAGACCAATATGGCTGTTAATTTCTGTACAATGCCAACTCAACACAGTAAATTGGGATAACTTTTTCCAAAGTTGTCAGCAGTTTCCAAAAATTCAAATTATATATATATGTATGTGTGTGTGTGTGTGTGTGTGT